CACACACACACACACAAGGATTAATCAGGCTGGAGATGGTGTGTAGCTGAAATTGGTGTTATATTTCTTAGTTTAGTGTCTTTAAATGTTGTATTCTGATGTAAAGTTGTCTTTTCTTCTTCTCAACTTTAAATACCAGTTTAACTCTATTGGGAACATCATTGGTTTTATATTAGACATGCCATTACTGGACACTTAAGCTTCCCTACCATGACTCACTGGGAGCGAGTGGAGGCCTACACTCGGCTGATAATGACTGCTGTGTCAAACAAAAACAAACTGCTCTCTTTTTTCCCTCCTTCCTTGCATGCTTAACCCTCCGCTGTTCTGCTTTCTGAACACTGAACCGTGGCAGCTGAGGTCCGACAAGAGGAGGAAATGCAGTCTAATTTTCCCATCCATACACAACCTTTTCAGAGCAGCCTGGCTATTTCTGTTCCAGTGACTCCTGAGGTTCACATCTGGAGTAAATCTTGAAACAAACAGTGTCAAATGTGCGTACAGGAGGAGAGAACCTGCTTACAGCTGTATGGTAAACTGTTTTGAATTTGCTTTCACACATTAGTACCGTCACAAAAGCAGACTTAACAACTAAGTTTAATATCAATACTATCATGATACCATTAGTTTTTTATGTCGATCAGAGGTTTCTTCTGACTCTGACTGAATACCTGTCATTAAAATTAGGAGGAAAAGAATCCAGTTCTAAACTAAGTGGTCTGTTTGACTTTTTCTGTGCTAGTCATTATTGCAATCTGCTTAGTTGCTCCCTCTAGAGGCCACACATTCAGCCTGCAGTAAACATCTGGTGCAATAATATGAAGAAACTATTCAAATATGGTAGAACTACTGCAGTCTAAAGAGCATTGCATTTGCACAAAGAGGTATAGTAATACAAAGGTTTAGCAGGAGGTGCTAAGCCTCACTGCTTTGCTCCTCTGTGATAGAAAACACTGTCATCCAGCCAGGAAGCACCTTCATCATAGCAATCATCTCAGAGGCAGCCATGACACAAATCTCCTGCACCCAAGGGTGCGGAGATTGGCTTTCATAACACACTGACTCACTCACACTGTCACCTTATCACTGATAATGACTGTAGGTCGTTCTCGTGTGGGACATCCTTCAGCTGTGATGGGATCCGTTTCCCTCCCACACAGCAGCACAGAGACGAGCATTCGAGGTTAAGAAAAAATACACAGCGGGGGGAAAAAATAAAGAGTGGACCTCTTGTTTAAATGCACACACACTCATGCGTACATGCAGGGGAACTGAGGAATCAAGAAGCAAAACAGAGGGGGCTTTTAATGTTGTCCACACACATCTTTTCAAAGTCTATATGTGCACACTGTGGGCTTTTAACACTGTTTCATACAGGCAGCATTGAGAGCTTAACGACCCATACAGAGAGCTGCTCACACACACACACACACACACACACACACTCACACACACTGCTTCATGGAGCATAGCATACAGAGAGCACTTTACAAAAAACCTTGCTATCCTCTGTACAGTTGCTCATAAAGTGGAGACATTCAGTGCTCCGAGTGGAACAGAGGGGATGGTATGGAGACTTAAACGCACAAACACACACACACACACACACACACAGTGCAGTGTATTCTCAGACCAATCAATAATCCATTATGAACAAACTGCTCTTCACCTCACACCCTGCTCTAAACCGGCAGACAAAGAGGTCTGCTGCAAGCTCCACGATGAAGAGAGAGAGAGGGGTAGAGCACAGCTGGATGCACACCCACACACACCTACAGGCTGTTTGCAAAACACACACGCTGAAGTTTTAAGACGTTTTTAGGGGTGACAAACGTGTCAGCTGTGGAACACACACCAAAAAAAAGCTTTTTGTGAACTTGACAAACAAGGTTTTGCTTCAACTGCTTTTAAGTAGTGTAGATTCAGTCAGATTACATCGCATTCATCTTATCTTTAAACTTTGAAGTTGAAAGTGGAAACGCATCTTCTTTTCACTACATGGAAACTTAAACAGTACAAAAAGGACACTTTCAAAAATACAGTACATGCTTTTGTGTAAATGAAACAC